AAACCAAATAAAACAAGCTGAGCTGCCCCCCCCCCCCCCACACGATAGTTGATGGTCATGAAGATTTTCAGAAATGTTCTCAACCATCACCGAGTTGATGGTACATGATGCTGCTATGAATACAGTTGATTATGAATAAATATCACATGATGATTGTTGGAAACCGTTTGAGCAGCCAGTAGGTACATGTACCTCTAATCACAGACACCCTATGCTCGAAATCGAATACAGTGTTGTTTACGCTTTCGAGACACGCTGTGCAGTTTCCTGTTAGAACAATAACTGTTTTTTTCACACATGAATAATAAAGACATACCATGGTGTAGCATCCATTTTCTATAATATTTGTTTGAATAATATATATGTATGCTTATTTAAAACAATGCTTTTTTCAGAACGTGTACAAGTACATGCATTTATGTGTAATTTTACGAAAAAGTGTTAATTCTTATAATTAATGATTTTCCAGCTTATTCTTTGATTTAATAATGTGCCATTTTCCATGCTAGTTATGGATAAATTTTAAATATCGTGCAGTTACTGTATGATAATCACCTGCTTGAAGTCTGCTCATTTTCTCCACTCAAGGATTGAACATGGGACATTGAATTGAGAAATGCAGTAATGTGCTGCTGAATTTTTTTTCTGGAACAAATCTGATCATGGAGGTAGAAAAGAGAAGGAGTAAGGACGCTATTTAAGCCCATGTTAATCTTATAAACATCCTTTGTTTACGGTCTGGTTAAGCCACTTATTGTTTTTGTTTAGAAGTCGTTTTATCTACATGATGATAGCCGCTTATTTACACAAGAAAACAAGAGTAAAACTGAAAAAAATAAATTACGTTTAAACATCGTCATACAAAGGTCATTTCACACTTGTAAATACCGGAAATTCTGCATACGGACGCAACCAAGATGTGTGCTTACTTCTTTTTGATATTTTTCATCGCAATAGTCGTCCAACTTTGGACATTGATTAAAAAATTCCCGCAAATTTCCGCAGTGAAATTTAAAGATACATGATAAGATTATAACAAGATGTTTTGACTCGTCATTTTTCATTGGTGTGCAGAACTGTGCAGATGTTGAAAATCGCGCCTTTTGTTGTAATAGATTTTGGGCGTTGAGTACACTCAGCGTACGTTTTTCGCTGCATTTTGTATTATTGTTATTTGTTTGGGCATGCGCAGTGCGTTGAAAATCTTCGTGAAGCTTCCGAATACAGCCGAAACACGTAAGCCGATTAACTGTGACATTGTACAGTGTGTTTGCAAACTAATTACAATGTGTACTGAGTAAACAAATCCAAAGCATCATGAAACCAGCGGAAACAATAGCGTCCTCACTCTTTCTCTTTTCTACCTCAATGATCTGATGTGGTGTCACAATTGCTACACACAAGCCATGGCATTTATTATAAATTTGTATATATTTTAGTCAATTGTGCGTATGACATCTTTCAGGTATCCAAGATTTTTGATGAATTATGCCAAGAACTGTTGAATCATGGTTACAGTAAAGTGGACAGATATCATTCTTCATTTCAAAAGGAGCTGAAGTCTCGTCTACCAAGGAGGGAATCAGAACGCCGTAACCATCCTCTAGCAAGACACTGTGATATTTTAGCTGCCATTGAAACCCGACTGTCATTGCTTGGCATGACATTCATGAAATATGTAGACATGAAACTGTGTTGCTTTATTCCTGGCAAGGTGAGTGTGTGAACACATTTTGCATCAGTCCAGAGTATACATGTTATTGTTCAATCAAAGCAAGCTCGAATACCTAGAGAAACAATCCAATCACTCAATCTAAATATCTGTTTTATTTGAAGGTTCTCGATGAGATAATGCATTTAATAAATTACATCAGAAAGACACCGAATCCTCCAAGAGCACATGAACTTCTTCAGGAATTGAGAGACATATCCTCCATGGCAATGGAATATTTTGATGAGAAGATTGTACCAACACTTAGAAGGAATATGCCACATCCGTCAGAGTATATCATAACAAATCCAAGTATGGGTATGTAACAATAGTATTTCCTACTACAATAGAACATATGCATATTCAAAATCAATATCTCTCTATAGACCGGCTTGGAAATTGATCAAATTTCTTTCAAACAGTGAATGTCGGCATAGACCCTTGGTTCTATGATATTAGGGATAAATTGTGATTTGGGCATTAGTCACGCATGTCATTAACTCTGCTCAAAGTTGTCTTGAACAATGAAGGAAACCTTTTCTGATGAAGGTTTTAAATAAAAAAAAACTACCTCGAACTAGCTCACCATATTAAACTTAATTCAAGCTATCCTGAACATTGTTTTAAAGATTTTATTATTAATAATAGAATGAGAAAAAAGGTGAAATGCTGTTGGATATGTGAATCTATGAAACAACTGCCCAACATGTTGAGGTACTCATACCAAGCATCAGTGGCGGATCCAGCAAAATGTATTGAGGGGGGTCCAAGCTTCGCTTAAAATATATGGAGCGTAAATTGCAGAGAAGCTATGCATAATCCAGATGATATGAATCACCCCCCCCCCCCCTCTCTGGATCCGCCACTGCCGAGCATTATATATGAGATTGAAGTAATTTGGATTTTAAACATTTGCTTTTTAGCTCCGCTGTCGACTTTGTTGAGCGGAGCTTATCATGTGAGTGATTGTCCGTCGTCGTCAGTGTCAATGTTTTACTTTTTCGACTTCTTCTTGAAAACTACAAGTCTGAATGCTTTGATACTTGGTGTATATGTACCTTGGGTAGACCTCTCTTAGGTTTGTTCATTTCATGTTGATATCTTCAATTCTCTAATTTTGGTGAATATTTTTGTCATTTTTGGTAAAAAGTGATATTTTCGACTTCTTGTTAAAAACCGCAAGTCCAATTGATTTGATACTACATATATAGGTACTACATGTGGACCTCTCTCAGATTTGTTCATTTCGTGATGATATCTTCAATTCTCTAATTTTGGTGAATATTTTTGTCATTTTTGGTAAAAAGTGATATTTTCGACTTCTTGTTAAAAACCGCAAGTCCGATTGCTTTGATATTACATATATAGGTACTACATGTGGACCTCTCTCAGATTTGTTCATTTTGTGATGATATTTTCAATTCTCTAATTTTGGTAAATATTTTTGTAATTTTTGGTAAAAAGTGATATTTTCGAC